TTCCCAGATCCTCTTTTGTTGCCAGTTCAGAGAGTCCAGGTGGTTGAGTTTCAGATTGTTCCATCTCATTTCCCTTTGGGGTTGCTGTAGGTGATCCAGAAATCTGTTTTTGAGACTTGTTTATGTGTCTTCTCATTTCCATGGGAGGGGGTGCTTCTGGCACCCACGTGGCTCACCTTCTCTGCCCTAGGAGCTTGGGATGGCAGCGGGGGAGCTTCCTTCCGGGTTCTGGGACTGGCTCAGCTTCTCTGCCCTAGGATCCTGGGATGGAGGCGAGGAGTTTCCTTCCGGGTGCTGGGACCAGCTGAGCTTCTCTGCCCTAGGAGCCTGGGATGGAGGTGGGGAGCTTCTTTCCGGGTTCTGGGACTGGCTGAGTTTCTCTCCCCTAGGAGCCTGGGTTGTAGGCACGGAGCTTCCTTCCGAGTGCTGGGACTAGCTCACCTTCTCTGCCCTAGCAGCCTGGGATGGAGGCGGGGAGCTTCCTTTCAGGTGCTGGGACCAGTTCAGCTTCTCTCACAGTTTTAGTTATTTTTATTTTTTTATTTTATTTTATTATTTTTTTGGTACCAGGGATCAAACTCGGGTCCTTGTGCTTGCGCAGCAGGTGGCGAAACCACTGAGCTAAATCCCCGGCTCCTCACAATTTTATTTTAAGAGAAGTTTAGACCCTAGAAATTGTAACTTTGTAAACAATTTTTAATAAATGAAGCTTGGTTCCTTTTTAAAAAGTCTTTTAATATTAAGATAATTGTCTATTTACATGCTTATATTTGAAATAGTACAGAGAGACCCTGTATGTATAATTTTTGCCAGCTGTCTGTAGTAGTAACATCTTGTAAAACTATAGGACACTATCATAAAAGGATATTGACACTGATTCAGTCAAGGTAAGGTATATTTCCACCACCCATCTTGTCTCATCAGCCTGTTCCTTAACTGTTGGTAGACTCATTTATTCTCTATTTCTATTATTTCACTACTTCAAGGATGTTATATAAATGGAATTATACCACTTATAATTTTTTAGGATTGACTTTTTTCATGTAGCACAATTCTCTGGAGCTTGAGCCAGATTGTTGTAAGTGCCAATACTTATTATTTAGTCCAAGGTGTAGTTGTTCATTTGTTTATTCAGCTATAGAAGAACATTAGTTTTTTAAAAAAATTTTTATTATAGACTTGCTGAAGGATATTTACATAAACTAGTTAACCTCATATTTAATGATGAAATACTGAATAAATTTCTCCTAATATAAAGAATAAGGTAAAAGCAGGGGTGGTGGTGCATGCCTGTAATCCCAGCACTTGGGAGGCTGAGGCAGGAGGATCACTGTGACTTTAAGGCAGCCTGGGCTACACAGTGAGTTCAAGGCCAGCCTGAACTACATAGTGAGACCCTACCTCAAGAAACAAAACAACAGAACAAGGGAAGGGTGTCTGCTCTCACCACCATTATTCAACATAGTGCTAAAATTTCTAGCCAGTGCAGTAAGGTAAGAAAAGGAAGCAAAAGATATACAGACCAGAAAGCCAGAAAAAAAACCTGTTCCTATTTATAGATGACATGATTATACAGAAGATCCCTCCAAAATCTTCAAAAACATTCCTGGTTCTAAATTTTCATTTTGGTTCTAAATTTTCATTTTGGTTTTGTATGTCTTCTATTTCTTTCATTTTCATTTGTTTTAGGTATGTTGATAATTGCTTATTGAAGCATTTTTATCATGGTTGTTTTGGAATTATTGTCAGCTAATTGTAGTTTTTTTTCTTTTGACAGCCAAAATAACTATTCCCTAAAAATACGGAATGCTTCATGAATTTTTGTGTCATCCTTGCACAATAGCCATGTTAATCTTCTCTGTATTGTTCCAATTTTAGTATATGTGCTACCAAAGCCAGCACATTGTCAGCTAATTCTAATGTCTTAGATATATTGGTTTTAGCATCTATTGGTTATCTTAGTTTACTGTCTTCCTCATTCTTGGTATGAAAAATGATTTTTTTTTGCTACCGGGGATCGAACTCAGGAACTTGTGCTTGTGAGGCAGGCATCGGAACCCAGAGCTAAATCCCCAGCCCTGATTTTTAAAAATTGAAACACTTTTGTATTACATTACGAGAGCCTGAGTCTTCTGTTTTAATTGAACTTCTCTGACACACTGCAGGAGGGTATAGAGTGAGGGGTCAGTACCCCCTTTTTATACCAAGTCAAAGTGCCCACATGGTAACTCCATTGATACTCAGATTGGATGTAGTAGCTCTTTGTTACTTGTGGATTGAAGTGAGAGTTGCAGCTTCCTTTGTGGTCTCCATTGACTCTTTTAAACATGAAGGTGATCTTGTTGCCACTAGGCGATGGTGCAAATTCAGACTCTCCACTAGTTCAGCTCTGATTCCACCTGGGTGGGGAGGGGTGGCTCCTCATTACCACCAGGTGGGAGCACAAGTCTAAGCTCCTCTTACGGTTTCTGCTGACATTGCTGGGCTTTGTTACTGCCCTGTAGGGTTGAACATTTTGGCTCTCTGCTTGAACTTCTCTGATGCTAGCTGGTAGGTGTGTTCAGTCACCTGGGTACAACAGCCTTGAGAAAGTAGAAGTCTAGGCCTTTCCTCTTGACCATTGCTGGCCTGAGTTGGGATAGCACTGGTGTTGTTTGTTTGTTTTTCTCCCTGTGGTATTTGGCTGGAATGGAGCTGTTAGTGTCTAGAAGTTTTCTGTACCGGTACAGTCATGGGTCAAAAAATGACAGGGATATGTTTTGAGAAATTTGTTATGTAATTTTAGTGTTAGAAGGTTTTTAAAAACCTTTTTATAGTTATGGTAGCTTAGTATGTACATATGGTCCATTCGTATGTGAAGATGGAAATAATAATAAATAATGTTTTCTGATGATATATTTCTACTCCTAGTAAAAGAACCCAAGATATATGTAGTAGGTATGTTGTAAGTGGCAATAACATGATATCTATGATATCATGAATTGAATTATTCCCAAGAAGTTTCTTAAATAACTAGAGATTTGAGTGGATCATTTTTGTTTTTCAAAGTGCCTGGTATACCATTAGGAAATAAATTTCCCATTATTGTTACTTTTTTTTTTTGGTACCGGGGATCAAACTTAGGTCCTTGTGCTTGTGCAGCAGGCAGCAAAACCACTGAGCTAAATCCCTGACCCCATACTTTGTTTTTTCTTTTTTGGTACTGGGGATCGAACTCAGAACTTTGCGCTTGCCAGGCAGGAAGAGCTACACTGAGCTAAATCCCCAGCCCTATTGTTACTTTTTTGTTGGTACTATGAGACAGTATGAGAGAATTGAATCATCTGTGGGTATTTTCATTACTCTGTATAAATAACACTTGAATTAGCCGCCAATTTTAATATGTTATAGTAGTAGTAGAGGCACTTGTTTTTTAACGCATGGAAGTTAAGATTATTTTAAACTGGCTTTATTTTTTTAAGCATAGGGTCTTCTTTCTGTCTTCAAATTAAAATAAGTTAGTAAATTACTGTTTTCCAGCTAATTCAGCTAATTGAGTATCTAGGGAAATGGTCATTTTGAATAAGTACATCTTCCAACAAAATTGTTAAATGATTTTTTTTGAAAACTAATTTGTTTAGAATGAAAGTGGAATAAGAATCAAGTGTGACACTCTTAGTCACTATTTGTATATGAATGTATATGTATGTATGTGAGTGTGTATGTATGTGCTTTTTTAAAAAAAAGTTTCAGAGTTTTTTATTCAAAGGTTGTCAAAAGAAATAAAACAGAGAAAAGCTAACAATCTGATCAAATATACAGTTCAAAAGTGTCTTTTGGCGTTTAACAGCAAGTCCTAGGAAAGAAAACTACAGTTATCTTGAACAGAACAAATAAGTTACCACTGGCAAGTTTGTGGCACTAGTAAAACAAAAATAAAACAATAACTCTCTTGATTATATACATATCTCTATGAAAATCTTTTTTTCAATCTGTGCAAAAGGTCTTCATAAATTAATTTTTTATAATTTAATGGCTGTCTTCTATGTGATGTTTAACTGATTTTCTTTCTTTTTATGTACAGAGGTTGTGTTTTCCAAATCTTACCCAGATGAGTATGGCACTTAGTTCAGACGTTTCTAGCAGATTTCCCCTCCCCTCTAACTGACCTATCAAATTTCTGTCTTAACTAATGCAAAAATATCAAGTAATGAGATACCCAGGTTTATAAACGTACTAGGTACACGGAGGGTGCTGCATTCAGTCTGGACTTTCACAAAGAAGTAATATTTCAGGGACCATAGAACCAGTAATACCACAACTTTAAAAAAAAGCAAACAAAAACAAAACAACACATTTCTCTTATGACTATACAATTTTCACTAGATTCTACACTTCTCAGAGCAACTATGAAATGTCACTGGCATCTACAATCACATACAAGCAATAAAATTTAAGAACTAAAAAATACTCAAAAGAAACAACTGCTTAGCCCTAGCTCCCGCGTGTATGTGCTTTTTGAAAGTGATAAGTAATCAACAACTTGTTGGAAATCACTTAAATGGAAACATTGATTGCAAACACCTGATAAAAGTGAGCTGTAAAACACTTTATTTTGTACTTTACATTTGTATTGTGTTAAAGATTATGAACAGATTGTAATAAACCTTTTATAGTCCTTCCTTTTAAAAACTGGTTGTCATTACCTCAAATTGTTAATTTATAGGGGGCTGGCTTAGAAATATATCCTGGGAGTAAGTGTATCCTGAGTGACAATGGGATCCACCACTGCAAGGAGGGGATCCTCATTAAGGTAAGCATTGTTTGAAACACATTCTTCAAAAGGTTAGAATGGTGTATTCCTGTAATTCCAGTACTCTAGAGGCTGTGGCAGGAGGATCACCAAGATTTCAAGGCCAGCCTGGGCTACATAGTGAGTTCAAGGGCAGCCTAAACTACTAGTGAGACCTTGTCTCAAACAAACACCAACACCAAAATGTTAGAATGTTTTAAGTAAGAAATGATGTTTTATTAAATTCCCATGCTGGGAATCTGTTTTCTAGTTTTGAAAAAAATAGAGAATAGTATATAGGTTTTAATAATATCAGTAATTGGTGATTGAAGGTCTCTTATGAGAATTTGCAGAAATGATAAGAGTGGTGTGTCACCAAGAGCTCAGCTACAACATATTAATAAGCATAGCTTTGTTACTTTATTGTTAGAATAGTGTAAAAGAGGTGATTTTTTTAAAAAAAGACAGTGTTCAATGTGGCAGTTCCTTAATACATTTGTTTTTAACATCACAGGATTTCTTAGATGAGCATTATGATATTCCCAAAATATCCATGGTAAATAATGTCATACATAATAATGAAGGCTATGGTGTTGTTTTGGTGAAACCTACAATTTTCTCTGACCTGAAAGAAAACGACCAAGATAAAACTGAAGGTATGTTATATTTAGTATTATTAAAATATAAAAACCTGATCTAATTTACTTGATTTCAACACTAAATTCTGATTAGGACCTGAGTCTTTCTTCTTTAAAAATATTCCTGGAACATGCTTGGGCATGGAGATAAGCATAGTGAAGGCATAATATTGTAGAATCTTAGAATGAAAGACATTTTCAAGGTCAACAAGTTCAACTGTTCATTCAAAGCCTTGATGTGGTTTGTGGATCTGCCGTTTCCTTCTTTCCATACTTGTCTTTCTGTAAGTGTATAGAGTAAGGACTGGTATGTGATAACAATGGTGGCTCCTGGTGACATTTGTTACAGATAGAGGTAGTGAAATGAATTTGCCAGGTTACAGGAAAAGTTGAGGGAAATTGTGAAATTATAAATGAACTAGTTGCTGGCTCCACACAAAAAGGCCAGGAGGGGATACTAGAGTTTGCCCCTATTCTCATTGGGAACAGTGCCTCTCTGTCACCTGCCTTTCTTGGTAGCAAAGGTGAGCTAGTTCAGTAGGTATTATTGAATTTCAAACCTTGATAAAAATCATTATTAAATCAGTCGTAGAGGAGTGAACTTTGATGTGGGTATAGAAAGTTTAAAGCAGTTTAAAGATTAGTCCTTGTCATCTTTCAGTATCTGCTTCATTATATCTGTAGAAGTTTTATCTCCTCATAAGTCTCAAAGCATGGAATTAAGATAAAGATGTCAAGTAGGCAGGACTCTTATCTGAAAGCTCAGGTGGAAGAATCTCCTTTCAAATTCATTCACTGCCAAGTTCATGCCTTTAGGTTGTAAGACTGAGGTTTCCATTTTCTTGTTGGCTGGTTGATCATCACCTGTGTCCCATGGGCCTATCCGAACAATAATCTCCCTCATGGTGAATCTCTGATTTCCTCTTCTGCAGTAAGCTGGAGGAAACTGATTAATAACTTAATCATTACAAAACTAGAATCCTTTTACCATTTAACAATCATGAAAGTACTGCTGAGGGATGGGGAATCTTAGGGCCCCTAATGCAAAACTTAGCAGATAATAAATACTCAGGAAATGTTTGTTGAGTGAATGAGATTCTAAGATGAAGGTAAGCAGAATTCAAAATGTGAAGATTGTTGGGACCCTGTGACAAGAATTTTAGTCAGACTGAGTAGGAATCCATGACAGAAAAACTTGAAAACTCTAATAGCCTGTGTAGAAATATGTTTTCATTTGGTTAGCCTGTATATTTAACCATATTTGTTACCATTTGATTCTCCAGAAAATAAAGCAGTTAAGATTCAAACAAGTGGACAGGCAGATGCAGCTGGAAGAGTGGATCTAGAGGAGCTGATTCACTGTGCAACTGACAAGATGGAGATTTATGAAAGCGCTGCCGACCTTTCTGAACAAGTTGAGGGAAATTGTGAAATTATAAATGAACTAGTTGCTGCCTCCACACAAAAAGGCCAGATAAGGAAGAAAAGGTTGAGTGAACTGGGGATCACACAAGCTGATGACAACTTAATGTCACAGGAAATGTTTGTTGTAATTGTGGGGAACCAGTTTAAGTGGAATGGGAAAGGGAGCTTTGGCACATTTCTTTTCTGACCACGGTGATATAAATAGCTAACAAAATGTTGGATTTTGCACATGCTCCCCTAAGATTCACTGCTGCTCATGTGGTTTGCTTCATGTCTATATTTGATACATTTGGTTGGGCTTGAGTGAAATGTAAATTTATTTCTACCTGCAAGTATTACACATAAAGCAGTCCTTTATAGAAAAGGTCATTAAAATATGTAAAATAGAAAATAATTGGAGATTTCATATCTAGACTGTCTTGCTTTCTTGAATATATACTTCTCTCATATTAAGCCTGTTAATAACTTTCTAGTGTAAATACACTTTAATCTTTTTTTTTTTTTTTTTGGTGCCGGGGATCGAACTCTGGTCCTTGCTTGTGCAGCAGGCAGCGAAACCGCTGAGCTAAATCCCTGGCCCAGATACACTTTGTGCTTCAGAGAGGAGGAAGGAAAGCAGCAAATGCAAGACAAGTGCATAAAAGTGCAGTAGGTGCCTCATGTTTGGTGTTCTTCTGGAATTGGTCTTTTTAGCCCAATTATAGCCAGTCTGATTTTTATACTATATTTGCATAATACTTGTCTTAAAGGAAAAGCTTTTATGATTAGGAAGTTATCCACCTAATCAGACTTGTTATTGAGAATCTGAGTGGGATACATGTTTATGTCATCGAAAGTGCAATAGATAGCATGGCAAGTTTGAAACAAATAAAATGTGTTGTTTGGAGTCAGTGTGTACATAGAACATTTCTACTGTTGAATATGAATGATTAAAAGGTATTTTTCTTTTATAACTATTCTGGTCATATGTATTAGAAAGTCAAAATGATTATGTAGCCTATATGAGCTATATATTCTTGGTATGTCATACCATGAACCTTAGCTTTTAACATTTTAAACATAATTTAACATTTTAACATTTT